ATTCGAAGGGATCAGGAGTATTGCAATCCCACTAGGATGAGATGTTGGTTGACCATTGCCAGCCCCTTAGTAATTTCTCAGTTCTCTGAAAGTTTGTAGTTATCTACTTAAACTTCTTTGATTTGAGATCCACAGTGTTGTTTAAGTGTTCTTTTGAATAACTGTAATGAAACTGATAAGAAGAAACCCTGACAAGGCTCCAACGGGTATCTATCCTTACATAAACGGTCACTCTTATAACCTAGCTCATCTTCCTTATGGAAACTAAAACAAATTGTGAAGCTGCAGTGTTATCATAACCATCCACCTTTTTTGTTTCTTCTACAGGCTTGAAACCAGAAAAAGTTAGGCTTGTTGCTGCTGGAAGGAATCACACAATTGTATCGACTGGTAAGAAGAGACATTTTCCTTGTAATGTGCAGTGCAAATTTTTTATTTCTCTATGGGTGTTAACCTTATTTTTCTTGATCTTTAACTGCTTCATTCCAGGAGTGTTCTCCTTCTTAGAGCCCTCTAAATATGCACTTGCTAATCAAATGCAAATTTTCCTGGTTTGTATTAGTGTAGGTCAAATATGCATGTTCGAAGGCTGGATAAGGTTATCCACGTGAGAAATATCTGGTGGACAGTGCAGTATGTTTTGTTTTGTACATTTGTCTGTTGGATAGCAATTTATCCACTAGACAGTACGTATTTTTAATCCTTTCAACAACTGAATCCTGCTGTACTTAAAAGTGATTTCAAGTGTAAATGAATTCAAACTAGTTGATTGGTATGTTTCTTTGTTGTAAATATAGTTATTGCAGCTGTGGATGTGGTTTTTCTTTAAGCAAAGTGGTCAATTACCTGGAGTAAAGGGGATTACAAATAAAACTAGTTTGAGACCATTTTGATCTGGGATTCATTATTAACTATGACATATCTAAGGACAGTCTGTGTCTGTCAAACAGTTACATGTAAAACAGAAGTAATATTTGAGTGACATAATTGAAATAGATGTTTGGATTCATAAATTCTTCCTCTCAACTCTTATAATCTGACTTTAATTCTCTTTTCTAGTTGCTGCATATTCCCTTGTAAAGGGCGAGTAATATTCATTTAACCTTAAAATAATGTCCTTTTTCACACAGAATCTGGAAAACTTTACAGTTTTGGTTGTGGTAGTGATGGACAACTTGGTCATGGGAACTGTGAGGTAAATTTACAGCCAGGGCTTGACATTAACGGTGGCCAACTAGCACAGGCTAGTAAAAATTCAGTTTTGGCTAGTGCTTTTTTATTTCCACAAGCCAGTTTGGCTAATAAACAAACTGAAATTGTTGTAACATCTAAGTCGTCACCAACCACTTGGTTAGTAAGTTGAGATTGGTGTCAAGCCCTGTATAGGAGAACCTGAATGTAGCACATACTTGTTTCTGGCTGTTGTTGTTTCTTTACCCTTTAAACCCCAAACATCCTTATTCTCCATACTGTTTCCTATATTTTTCTTATGGCATTGATGAGGAGAATCAATAGCTTCTTTGTTTGGCAATGATTTCTGTTATCCTCATGACCATAATGTATAATTCAATAGAGGTGCTGTAAGCAGAAATTTGATGGTAGTCTGACTCTTAGGGGTGAAAGAGTTAAAACAGTTTGCAAAGAATGGAGTTGACATTGGATAAACTGGCCATTTTATGCCATAATTGATCACTTTATAGATAGGTTTTCTAAAACTGGCTCAAAGAAAGGACTAAACCATTGTTAGAGAGGCATCCACATTCTCAAAAGATTGTCATAAAAGGGAAACATTAAGTCAAGATGGCAGTTATGGCCTGGAGGTGTAGCAAAAGCTCCACATATGACTGGCTACTGATTATTAGTGCACAATATGTAGGAAAATATTTGAGCTTATATCACTGACATTGTTTTCCTGAAAATTCTTGATTTGACAATGTCAGCTTTGAATAAATTATGCTTGAGGGATTTTTCATAATTTTATGGGTAAGAGTACCTTTTCATATCAAATGACCATTCAATGTTAGTCAAGGCAATAGAAATAAACTTGTGATGGGATCAAAAGTTACCACGATCATTACTTGATTAGAGGGGCAATTACAGTAACTGTTATTAGAAGGAAAATTTTGCACACTTTTTATAATTTTGTGCCTTTTGGTTGGTGCATTATTTTTAACTAGTTTTTCTTGTAACCTGAAACATCAAAACAAAAACAAAGCTACTTTCAAACCTGTTATCAACGATAAAATTGCACCATGAAGCACAATTGTGAAATACAGGTACATCATTATTTTCAGAGATAGATGTTATTAGGAAAGGCAAATTCACCATTTGGGGTTTGTTTCATTTGTTTTGTAGAGTTCTCTAGTTCCTAAAGCCATTGAGTCTTTACCTGACCAGCAGTATGCATTGCTTTCCTGTGGGTCAGATTTTACTGCAGCTGTTACTGGTAAGATTTTTTTCTAAATTCCTCACTACACCACCCACTAAGTCATTGTAAAAGTCTTTCTGTAACTCAGTCATAAAGAAAGAATTCATTTGTCATGCCATTATTTCAAAGTGACCCAAATAAAGATTAATATCATTGACTGCCATAGAAAGGAAAAAATTATTTTGTAATAAAATTCTTCATTAATGTGTGCTTATTGTCTGAGATGGAGGGGCAGACACAAATATTTGGCTGGCATTAGGTCCACGTGCCATGGATGAGAGCCAATTATCTTCCTGTCGGGCCCAACTAAACTCAATCAATGAGCTTTTTACCATATGTATGGTGGCCGAGAACTGCCATAAAAAATATTCAAATTTATAGGAATTATTTTTGTAATTTTTTTTTAATTTCGATTTATTTCTCATTTTTCTTTTTAAAATAAAAGCAAGCGAAAGTAAAATGTAAAATAGAAATAAAATGAAACCAAAGATAGATGAAATCAAATCAAAATTAAATACTACCCGGCCCAGCGCTGCCACTATTTTTTTTTTTTTTCCCGGTTGGGAAAAAAAAATTTGTTCGTGGCTGAACACTGCCACATGGCCGAGGGCTGCCAAACAAACCCAGAATGCACTACCATCAAAAAGTTCATGAGCTAGAAGCAATTTCTGGGCTGAATAATTCATACCCATGTCCTTATATGTCTAGCAGCATGAGTTTTTGTCTGACTTTTCATAAGAAAAATGGGTTGGACATTGAGCCTTCTGATCCATAACATCTGTTTCCTCGACACAACAATCACCAGTATTGTTTAAGTACTTGGTAAACTGTCCATCAATAAACTCCTCCACAGTCACAAATTCTCCTTTATCGTCTTCACCGTAGTAGATCTTTCTAGTTGAAGTTCATTTATTTGTTTAAGCAGGTTGATTTATTTGGCAGCTGTAATAGCTGATGTGGACCTGCTTTCCTAACCCACCCATCCCACCCCAGGGGAGGACATCCATCACACAGTAATCTCGTGTGTGGGAAATTAACGTCTCCTGCCCCAACCCTGCAGGAGACGGGACCTCCATTTATTCGTCCCTATCCGAGAAGACTAGAATATCTAACCATTTCTTGATGTTATAGAAAGGTAGCAAATTCTTCTCAATTATTTTAAGACCTTGAGTGTTGGTCCGGCCGGGGCTCGAACCCTCGACCTCCCGCACTACAGTCCAGCGCTCTATCCATTGAGCTAACCGGGAGGCGGTTC